CGCGGAGCGGGCGAGCGAGGGACGGGGGCGGCGCCCGCCGCGCACGGGGCCGCTGCGCCCCCTCCTCGGGGACAGGGCTCCCCCAGAGGGGCCCGTTTCACCCCAAAAGGTCCCCCAGTCCCTCAGCCACAATCTCACTCCCCTGCACTCCCCCAAACCTCCTCAGCAGGAGCCAGCAGTCCCCCAGACCTAACCCCCACCTCATCAGGCCAGCTCGTTAAGTAATTAGGTGTCCGGGCGCCTCTGGGAGTGTTTTAGTGACCCTGTGGGGAGCAGCAGGGTGATTCTCTCAGGGGACCCCAGTGACAGGGCAGCAAGATGGGGGGCTCAACGCCCTGCCACCACATGAGGCCCTGCCGCATGCCACAGCCAAAAGCACCATGAGTCCCTGCGCTTCCGCTATCAAGTTCACCCCATTTGCTAATTAAAGGATTTTTTGCTTATTTTCTGCTTGGCAGTGCCATAAACTCTAGCTGGGCTGCAATAGTGGCTTTGATTTGTATGGCCACAGCCACCAATGGTGCCGTGTCCAGTACTGGGAGCTGGTTAGAAGTTGGGTTTTTCTTCCCACAGCTTTGCAGCATTAACAAGGTAAAGGTGCATTAAATGCATTCAACTAAATGTAGCAAAGCTGGGGAATATCACCTTGTGTTCACATCAGTAACAAACCTGTTTGGGGCAAGAAGCGACATTTCTGCCATGTCATCTGAATGATTTTATGTGTTCACTGAAGTTCATAGTTTATATTCTTTTTTCCTTCCATTCTGAGCATTGAGGGCTGTCTAAATAGCTATCTCATGGGTGTCCCAAGTGTCAAACGGGTCACTGGTTTTCGTGTACACCAGCCTTTGGGAGGAGCAGGTCATGAGGAGGAGGAGGAGGAGGAGGAGGAAAGGGTTCACGCTCACTCCGGTGGAGTCTGGGAGAACAAGGCCTCGTTTTCCATCAGTGCCCAGGCCAGTTCCTCCCCACAGAACTGCTAAGTCAGTTTTATATTTGTATGGCCCTCGCTTATCTCAAAGTGGGGCCTTTAAACAGGTTTAAAAATGCACCTCAGCCAAGTTAGGAGAAGACCCTGTGTTACAGCAGTAGTGAGTTTAGAGCCAGATTCTCATCTATTGAAAGAGTGGAAAAATCGATGTTGATGTCAGGGGAGAGTGAAATGACCATGGGAATGGTTCCTGCGCTAATGTGCAAAAGCACTGGAAAAGAAAAATTTGCAACAGACTCTCTGGGATTGTGTCTGCATTTCTACATGCCGTGCATTCTGAATATTTAACATTGATTAAAATGCGTTTAAGTGCAAAAGATAACTTTCAAAGTAAATTAACCATCAGTGGGAGAGCCTTGCAGAATATTAAGGGAAGGTGCATAGAAACTAACAAAAATAAGAAAAATAATTTATGAATTAATTTTGAGTCTTGAGCCTATGACTACACTTAAAGATAAAGAGTGCATGTAAATAGAAGACTTCACTGGATGTGGGAAACTTCGGGATAGACAGAGGAACCTCTGGTAATAGATCTGATTAAATGAGAGCTTTCTTGCCTCTCTGCCAAACCTTGTTCTGATTGAGAAGCTCCCAGATTGTCGTGAGCAAGGTCGTTAGGACTTCCCCTGCAAATGAAGCAGCAGCTTAAAAAATAAGGTCATAAAAAAGCAGAGTTTTCAGTCCCAAAGAGAAGAAAATAAACCTCTGTTGTTTGCTGAAAAGGAAGTACAATTAAAAAAAAAAAAAGGCAGACTACTTAGATTTGTGAACCGTTGATTTACAACGATGAACAACAGGCCCAAACGGGAAAGTTTGGATCCAGATCTGGATCTGACATTCCCCAAAATGGGGCGAGGGGAGCACGCTTAGATCTGCGGTTTGGTGTAAGGCTTATCTCCGAAACACAGAAAAGTATTGTGGATAAAAATACCCAGGTAAAGTAGGAAGTGCCTGGTCTGCAACAACAAGGGTGACTTTGTAATAACAATGAACAAAAGAAGGCGCTTTCTTTTCCTTGAGAACAATGAAATCACTCAAGAATTGTTATAAATGCAAACAATGTGGGTTTTATCATCCAGTTATCATCAATGGGATTATAGTCTATAAACTCTAATTTTCAGGGAAGTCCCTATATTTCCCTAAGCGCATCCTCAAATTTCCCATGTTTAATTTAGTAATTAGTACAGGATAAGGTGCATCCTCAGTATTATATTACCATAAAATACTGGGTTTAGTGACAAAGAATGCTTGATTGCCAGGTTCAAAAGAACAGACGCTTGTGTTCTCACCCATTTTTAACAATTTTTAACAAATATATAAGTAGTACCTAACGTCATCTAACTTCTAAAATTCATTTTGAAACACTGAAATTATGCAGCTTTGAATAAAATACCTTTCTAGCCAGACAGGCATGAAAGAAGGACTACTGCAGCAAGGTGGAGTGTAATTATTGAGTTAACCCCACTAGAATGAGTTCTGTTCCATGACTGCAAGTACTGACGGTGCTTTTATGTGCTAACTGTGAATTTATTTCTCCCTTTTGAAAAGGCGGGCTGTACTCAAATGGGGCTCAAAAAGAAAGAGTTATGTGAAATGCTCTTAGAGTTATGGCACTAGGATCTCAGTCTAGGCACTTGTAACTTTTAAAAAGCAGGTCATGTTTGGTCAAAGATGAAAGTCTAATTTAATAAAAATACAAATTAAAAAAATGCATTTTGTGCTGCCAAATATAATATACATGGCTGTGTTTCCAAAATTGAAAAAAAAATCCATTGTTTGATGATATATCTCAAGAGCAAATCAATAGTAGGCTATCTGAAAAAAAAATAAATGAATGTAATGGTACTGAAACACTAATTTTGCTTTTTAGAAATTCATACTGTGAATAAATCCATGTATGATTTAATTTGTATTTCTGTGGAGATTTCAAAGAAAGACTACCTGAGTGTTGGCTAAACTGATAACTGGGTGCCCAGAGATCTGAGTTGCCCCTGTTTGCTAAAACATTTTTGGGGAGCTCATTTTGGGTTTATTAAAACCCAGCAAGCGGTCAGACAGGAGCCTGTGTTGGGTTTCTAGCTTCTGTTTCCCAGTCTCCAGCATGCTCGGGCAGGGTGGCAGTATTCCTCCTCCGGCTGGAAAAGGAGGAAGGAGGCATATTCCACAATCCTTCCAGGAGCTTTCCTGGCTGAGTAATGAATGGTGCTGACGAACTCCAAAGCGAGAACCACGTGGCCCTCCTCCTCTTCTGGAATAATGATTGCTGTGCCACAGGGCAGCAAACATGCTAGGAGGAATTCAGTAAATAAACAGGAACTGAATTGGTTTGCATAAAAATGCACTAGTTAGATCTAGAATGTGCAAAAATAGCAAATATATCAGTTCTGTCATACGGCAACCACAGCCATTTTTGTTGTTGGAGTAGTAACCACAAGTCCCAGTCTGGACCAGGAAATGTTAGGCACGGTACAGACACATCAGAAGAAAAAGCCTTTGATCTTAAGGAAGTGAAGTCTATTCCAAACTTCAGTTTTTTCCCCATCTTGTTTGTAAAACAGTATTTCATGCATTCTTAGTCTGGGAAGATACCTGAGAATGCTGAAACCTCGATAACCCGTTCCAAAAAAAAATCACAATCTTAACTATATTCAAAAATGAAAATCCTCTGACACTAAAACACCGAAGTTATATACAAATATTGTACACACCTTAAAACAAAATAGAAAAAAAATGAGGTCCCCAATGCATTCTCAGCTTACCCAATGCTGATTGTGCTGTTGATCTAAAATTATAGTTAAGCACAATGTCAGCAAATGAACTTGAGTGCAGCCCTTGCAAATATCCCCATGG